GCTCAAAAAATTTCCAACACAAACAAAGTTATAAGAAGTCATAGCGTGAGCAAAAAATGTGAGCTATTTTTGAAATTATGACGTGCATACAGCATAAAAGCGCGTTGTTAATCTGTGGTTGCTCGCGCACGTGATTTTAAGTTGCTACTGGGGCTATCCCCCCGAAAATCGTTACCGATAATTATCCCCGAAATTCTTTAAAAAAGGGGTTATCTGTTTTCTGAAAAAACTATTTTTTATCGGTATAAAAATTTTTCACTAAATTACCAAAAAAAACTGCCCCATCCGTAAAATTTTAAAGAAATTTATGTTTTTTTAATAGTATGATGAAAGGTAGTTTACTTAAATGTGAGCTACACAATTTTTATTTACTTTTGTAACCTATGGAACTGTGAACTGTAAAAATGTAAACTGTGAACTGTAGAACTAGAAAAGTTTTGAATTGTTATCTGAGGCTAGGGTGCTCGTTCTACCTTATAACCTTCTGGAAAAGGGAAAACGGCAGTTACGTTAACAAGAGTCAAAAATCCGGCGGGCATCAATTAAATTTCCCGTAAGTTTTCTAGGCGGAAACTTGTCTTCAGGAAAAGGAATCTTTTTGCCCCCAAGTTATCCACAGAAAAAGGGAAAGGTTCACGAATCATTAAAAATGTTTTACTTTTCGAGGGAATTGGATTTGTTGCACTACTGTTCTGGAAAAAGGAAACGTTGGTTATTTTTTTAAAAGAGAAGGGGGCACTAGGTTCTCGGGAGAAGGAAACCGTTGGTCTATGTTTTAAAGAGAACTAGTGGGGTACTACTTACTGTTCTGGAAAAGGAAAACCCCTTTGGGTCTCTGTTTTGAGAGAAGGGGACACATGTTTTTGGGAAAAGGGAACGGGATCACTTTTTTTAAAGGAACGGGTTTCCTACTGTTCTTAGGAGAAGAAAACCTTTGGTTACTTTTTGAAGGAATGGTAACATTGCCCCCAGAAAAAATGATGCTCTATTTTTTCAAAAAAAAGGGAAGTTGTACTTTAGAAAGATACGGGTAAAAGAAAAAAAGTCGACAATCAGTTTTTGTGAATTTGGAAAACATTTTGGCTTTGGCCTTCAGCAAAAAATTATGGGGTTTTATCGGTTTTATCTAGAAAAAACCAAAATTTTATTTTTATCTAGATAAAAGATTTCATACCGATAATGGATAGCCATTCTACCACAGCGCGTAAACCTTTGCTTAAATAACGCCATTATTCAAAGATTATTTAACCTCATTTCCGCGTTAATTAAAAAAATCTAAAGCCTAAATCAAATTCTAAGTTTTATAGCCTATTCCTATCCTTTTCTAAACCCGTAAAAATCGGGGTTTCAACTCCTTTTCGAGCTGGTTTGGCTCACCGGGGGTTTTTTTTGAGGTCGATTTTCGGGTTTTTTCTTCTTGTCCCTTTGCCGGGGAAATTCGTCAGTTAAAATATAATATAGTATGTCAGACTAAACTTGAAATTTTCTTTTTCCCGCTACATGAATGGTGGTAAAGGGACTAGACGAAACATCAGCGAAAAATGCAAGCGTGGTGAAGACAGTCCCTGTCCCCCCCAAAACCCCGGAACATGTTATGCCCTTGAGGGGATTTCATTTTGTCCAAATTTTGTTCGGCAGATAGCTGGTTTTTCGGAGGGAAGTGGAAAGGAGATAAAGGACATTGTCGGAAGTTTGTTATAGCTTGTTGGCGAGGGGTGTGTGTGTTTTTGTCATGCCCCCTGGGAAGACGCGCTCACCCCCACTGATTTTAAAAAAATTTAAAAAAATGGTCTCGTTTTGTGTCTTCATCGAGGCTCCTATGCTAAGACTTTATCAGAACCCTCCGTGGCCTATTTTGTTGTTGCTCAGTTTCTGAAAGATGTCGTGTCGAGGTGGATATTTCGGTCAGTGATTTCGGGGGGGGGGAGGGGGGTTGGGGGGGGGGGGGGGGGGGGGGATTCATACCCTTGAAGGGCTCCCTCTTTTTAAAAACTCAAAATTGAAGAGAAAAACCCCTAGTTTTATATCCGACAGATTCTTACTGACAAAAGAATCTTGGGTTGAGAGAACACCACCTGCCCCTATTATCATGTCTCCTCGGTAATTCTCTCATTCCTCGGGAGATGCTACACGCATTCCACAGGAAACTTCAGTCAGGAATGCAGCTCTCGGGACTCAATCTAGTCCTTGACATCATGCCAAGAATCTGCATGTATGTTCGCCCCCAAACTACACAATATAACATGTTAGCCCGCACTGCTCTGGCGGACGAATCCAAAACAGACTTTCTCCAAGCCATTATCAGTAGGTATAATTTGTCTTGCGTCGATGAAGCTTGGAAACCAAATCAGCCATCAGATGATAGTCGAGTTACTTATAACATCAGCCAGGTTAGCATTTTCTAACCACATAATTTCATCTCACCATGTTATAATAATAATTTCATCTATAATACAAGCATTAAAACTAATAAAATCTTATAATATTTTATCAAAATTGATACAATTTTCTCGAATTCTGTTTATGGTTTTATTAGTGTGTAAATTGCGATTCTATTTGCCAATAATTAGAAAATTTGTTCACAATCGAAATGACAGACTTTCCCATTGAAATGATCGAAATCTATATAAAGTGTTGATAATGACGTTTTTTAATCCCTCATTTCAGATATATGAAGATGCAGTAACAAAACAGATCAGTTGTGACTCCATACCATTTGTGTGCGGTATTCTGACCAGTTATCTGTATGAACAAGGGGTTACCCTCGAACATGAGCCCCTCACTTCCTCCTTCAACTTGTACCGACCCCTCCGTAAAGCATGCTATAGCATCTTGCTCGGTAATGCTGCCTCTGTCTCAGAGAAATGTACCGCCAGTAACCTAGCTGTAGAAGCTGTCACGTGTGAAGAGTTCACAATCAAAGAAAAGACAGTGAAGTTGGAGCGTTTACAGAGTAATAAGAGGGAGTCTCTGAGATGGGCCACGTTTGTGAAGTGTGCGCAGGTGACATTTAACACAACCCTGGCACAGCAGCTGCCTCCCCATTACCTGGGTCTGTGTTGTATCCTCAACTACTGGTGGCATAGTCCTCTTATCCAGCTTGCGCAGTGGGAGCTTAACGCAGTTCTGGCACAGGCTGTTTCTCAGTACGCGGCTGATGTGACGTCACTAAAACGAGTACTGGTATCAGTTGTTAACACACGTGCTATCAACATAGCTCTCCAGCTAGCACGTGGGGCTGAGGCCCTGCTTCAGATTGCCTCTGTTACTTACCTACCTACAGAACCATTCTTACTGCACAACTATTTTGATGGGAAGCTCTTCAGTTTCTATTACTACCTTTCGGATAAGGGGGCTACCATTGAAAAGCTTTGTGACGAGATGCCGGACAGAGTTGAGATGTTTAGGTTTCTGATGATGGTGGTACAGTCGAAGAACTTGTCTATTGATGAAGAAGAGGAAGAGGAGGAGTCAGACGACGAGGGAGAGAAGAAGGAGGGTGAGAATGTCTCGATTGTTCCAGAGTATGAGACTATCTCGGACGATGAGGTAGAAATAGAACCTGTCACAGATGATGACGATCTCTTTAACGATGCTGTTACTGGTGGTTCTAAGGACATAACTGGTTTGAGTAAGTCTGGTGAGGATAAGACTGAGAATACATCTGAAGCTCAGCAAGAGACGTCTGATAATAGCACAGCAGAAACAAAGAACAGCTCCGAAATAAGAGTTAGGCTAGATCGAAAGGATTCAACAAATGGTGCTGTGGCTGAGATGATGAACCTACAAATGACCAGCCCTGTTACCAGAACGCGATTCCCAAGTTACCCTTCTGTTGCGGAGGAATACGAATCAACAGAAGAGCAAAAAGTACCGGAAGCTGAGCCAGTAAAACCTCCAAACAATTCTCAGTCAGTATCCAAACAGTTGTTTCCCGTCAATGGTAACGTACCTCCTAAGTTCCCATTGCAACCTGGAAGAAGGCCAGCATTTCGCCCAAATAACGGTCACGAAGCTTGTGTTCAGCCTGAACCCGCCCCACCGGGCCTTGAAGATTACCCTCCCGACCCTCTGCTCAACATGATGGAGACAGTTGATCTTCCAGCCAAAGCTCCGGAGCAAGAATTCAAGCCCCGTATCCCCCTTCCCCCTCTCCCTGATCCAATGCCTCTGTACTCAGACCCTTTGTATGGTAAAGCTGAAAATGGGTTTCCCTCCTCATATCCGATGAGGTACAAGAGGCACTCTGACAAGGAGAACTATGGTAGCAACCAGAGTGGAACCCTATATTCTGTGGTGGGACCTGATGGGGTCGTCTCATCAACCACACAAAACCCTGTGAAGAGACACAGAAGCGAGGAATCGTAGATGTTATTGGTCGATATTTGACTATTATAATAGACAATAGTGTGTCAAGTGAGGAATCAAGATAGGACAAATTATGCTACTATGCAAGTTATTACGTGACCTTCAATTATGCCAACTTGAGGCTTGAGTCATTAATGTTATTTAAGTATGCTAGATCATATGACTGTTTAGCTGCCTATATGTCAAGATGAAATGTTTTTACTCTATAATCAGATAATACAATTGTTATTTATTACTTTAGGCTTTTCAAGTACTTTGTCAGGAGGACGTGAATTATTAATTAGTGTATCTGCTTAAATCCTGATGTCTTTGCATCTACAGTAACTGTTTTCTCAAAGTAATAATTTGTTGTTAGTGTTACAAATAAGTAGAACTCTGCATTGCTAGATCTTAGTAATTAGAGTTGTTTAATTGTTTGTGTGCAATTGTTTATGTTGTTCGGGCTGATTGTCACGAGGATGTATGATCGTGTTTTTGTCAAATTTTTAAATGTTATATTACATCAAGATAATTCATCCTGCAAACATTTCTAATGAATGAACACAAATCATGAATCAGAGACATTTATTTTTAGACAAAAATGTTCACAAACGTCGATTTTTCTCAGTTTTTTTAATTAGAAAACTGTGACCCTTTATTTTTACTAATTGTTAAGTCATTATAATACCATTAAGTTATTGAAACAATTTGTTTCATTTGACTGCCTAAACTATTAATTGTAATTTCACATAAATCTTTCAATTACTACAAAAATATCAGTAAATTAAATTAAATCTATCAAAAATAAAGAGCGTCAACTAACTAAATTTCCTTATATTCGATATGAAACTAAATGACAAATGACAATTAGTGTCTCGAGATCTTAAATTCATATTTCTAATAGAAATACAGCTGACATTTAAATACTGACACTAGTTTCCTAGATCTTTTTCTAAGTGTTCAAGATGCCAAAACGAAAAACACTGTCACGAAGCTCCGACTCGGATGAGGAGATTATAGAAAAAACAGCAGTCAAACGAACCAGAAAAGCCCGGATTGTACCAAAGGCAAAAGTAGATGATGCAGAACTGAAACAGCCAGCTAGTGACATACCTTCTGATAGTGCAGCTACAAGCATGAAATCTAAATTAGAGAGGATGCTTGAAGTAAAGGAAAACAAAAGTGATACCACTAAAAAGGCTAAGACCAAGAAGTCTGGATATTCTTCACTTTATCTGAAATCCCTGAAAGAATGTAAACGACCCGGCGATCCTGCTCCTAAGAAGACAACGGCTAAAAAACCACCGAAAGTTGCTGTAGACTTGCTCACACAAAAAGTTACCGAATTCACAGAGTTAGCCGACCAAAGTCCTGACGTTATTAAGTTCATATCAGAAAACAGTCTGACAATTGGGGCTCACATTTCAGTGGCTAAGGGAGTTTATAATGGGCTTATCAACGCATTTAAGATAAAAGCTACTTCAATGGCTTTCTTTATCACGCAGCCTCGCAGGTGGACCACTGAAAAAGGTTTGATTTTAATTTAATAAAAGTATCGTTATATACCATTGTGATACTTTCTAAAGAGTTCGGTAGGGATCACAGCTATGATCCGTGTCAAGCTCAAACTTCATGTTCACATATATTACGTAAGCCACATTTAGAATTTAGACTACCCCTCCGCTAAAGCCACTTTACACATATTATAGCTATTGTATTTACTGTAGCAATAACTCGGCTGGCTTACGTAACATGTGAACGATCCCTACTGCTACTGGTAACAGCTTAAATCATAATCACCCTGAAATCTTAAATATAATCTGGAAGTTGTAACGCCCCTAATTGTAACGCCCCTAATGTTCAGCTCTGTCAGATGAAGAAGTTTCAATATTTAACGAAGGTGTAAAGATTTTGGGATACAAGCGGGAGAACATAGTACCACATGGTAACTATCTCGTTAATTTGGGGTCTCCAGATCAGACTATATACGATAAAAGTTACGCTTGCTTTGAAACTGAGCTTAAGATTTGTGAGCAGTTACAGCTGTGTTGGGTAAGTTGTCTGGCAGGTCTAATAGTTGAAACATTCCAAAGATATTACTTAATTAATTCCTTTATATTATATATGACAAAGTCGCCATGTTACTCTGTCCAAGTTAGGTTAAAGAAAAGCGTAACAAGATGGATTTGACCTGTGAGATCATTAGAAATATGATTCTTTTATCTTTTTTATTTATCTCTTTTTTAATTGATATTAATCTTAAGTGTTTTTTATTAATCTGTTAAGTGGTTTTTAATTAATCTGTTAAGTGTTTTTATTCGATCATTGTTTGGAGCTATTATATTACCTTTTCGAGAACAGTAATATCGTTACAGTTGAACATACATCCTGGAAGTGCTGTGAAGGGTATGGATAAAGAGAAATGTTTACAACAGATAGCAGAGAGTATAAACAAGGCACACTCTGCTACCTCCAATGTAACTGTCCTTCTTGAAAATATGTGCAAACAGGTGGGTTATCCAGACATTGATGCCACTTTTCAGCCGTTAGTGACAGGTATCTGTAAATCCTGTGACCATGGCCGCAGCGAAAGTCATTTATGGAAATGAGCTAATTGGAGAATTGGGTCAGGTTTTTAGAATGAGTTTTGGTCAGGTTCCGGTTATTGTAATGACTTGAATCGTGAAAGAGTATTCAGGTCTTGCCCTATTAGATAGGCTATTCTTGATTCATTTTTGGCCCCAAATCTTTTGCTATCACATCCGCATCCTACGCCCAGAGAAATTTTCGGAATAATTTTAAGGGAAACTAGAAAAAGGGTCTTCTTTTGAAAGATACTGGAACACGCGAAAATGCTTTGATTATTTCAAGTAAAGCACTTTTCGCGCTTTTGAAACGTGCGCGCGCGCGCGCCTAGTTTAACTTTCGAATTCTAGAAAACCGATTAAATTTTATACAGGCTGAGGATCTGAAATCAACATTTCAACCATTTAGCCGTTCATCCACCTGTTGCTTGAATTATTATTAAATTATTGTGAAATTAATTTATCTGCTTAACTATGGATCGCTTCCCGAAAATCATATTTACTTGATCTTCAAAGTTCAAACACAATTAATGAAGTTATCAAATCCGCATACACCGTATACAGCATAATTTAAAATGACGATAACCTGAAAATGAATTAGCTCACCCACGGAGTATCGATCTGTAGATGGCATGCAGAATGTTTGCAAGATAGTTAAGAGAGGCCTTACTATGGGGCCAATTATAAGTCCGTGTGGCCCGTGGTCGTGGGGGTATTTTAGTGTTCTTACGGTTGCCAGATAATATTGGCTCTTAGTAAAGTAAGATGCAAAATGTGATATAGTCTTTTGATTTTTAGGAAAACATAACATTATTTTGTATGATTGGACACCGGTGGCCTGGGTGGGGACTGGTGAGCATTGAGCCATATTTTCACGAAGTTGATCGAGCTTAGAAAGCTCATTGCAATGGTCACATTTATCTACGATTCATTAAAAACAGGCTCTGGAATGCTTATCATAAACAGACATTTAAGTTTCAGCTCATCTTCCCACCAGTATCAAAGTTTCAATTTTTTGTACGCACATTTGATTTCTCGGATTTTTCTCACGAAATTATTGCAAGTAATGGTGTTTTGCCTGCCAGGTAGATTACAGATTTGTCCGACTAGATAACAAAACACTTTAATTTGTAGAATGAGGGCCTTGCATTAGATCGGATATCAAAGTGTGCGTGGATAGCAGTGTAGGTAACCGAGCCTGATTAGCTGCACCTGTGTATATCAACCTGATTATATTATCCCAGAATTGCCATTGTAACTGAGCCGATGGACTCTAGATTATGTTGCATTGTACTGTGTAACAAAGCGTACTCACGTCACTGTGACACAAGTATACGTCCTCTGTCTTGTGCAGTAACAATTTATTTAATGAGACAGAAAACAATTTATCTTAATCATTAATGAAGATATTACGCGGATTTACGCTTAAATATTTCAGGGAACAACTGTTGGAGGCGATCTGTCTGATCTAGGGAGTATAATCAGTCACGTGACTGACAAGACGAGAGTGGGAGTTTGTTTCGACACTTGTCATGCTATGGCTGCTGGGTGAGTCTCACAATAGATCGTGATATTAGCTGTACATAACTTTATGTATTGGGGACACATTTTTGATATACCATCTGCAGTTTAAAAGCCTTTAAGAAGATAAATATATCTGCGTCAAAATTTTTAACGCAACATCAAATTTGGTTAAATACTTAGGACGTTTAACATCCAGTGTGGATACTATGGAGATATTATCCACAGTATCGATAGTTCACTCTAAAGTAGGAGTAAACTTAACTATCAGCCATCAGAACGTTGCCGCTTGAGGTTGCTGCTTGTCTCTGGCCGCCATTTAATGTACCATAACACACAAAATACATACCTGGCTCACAAAACGGAAGTTCACTCTCATCATCGCAGATCAGGACCTCCTCCCCCTGAACTTTGTACCCTGGGGCACAGGATAGAGTGATAGGTTGTCCTCGTGCTAATGACAGGGTCTCATCACTCAATCTCATCATCTTCATCGAGAAATTTTTACACTCTGTTGATAATGCAGGGGGCTATACTAGAAGTTTCTTGGGAATAACGATAACTTTTGATGAAATGAAAAAAAAATTGGGATTTGCTACTTTTTAAAAACATACCCTTTTCAACTACTCGGTATTTAACTGACAACCGACTTGCACGGGACCTCCAATTCTTTCAAGACTGAACAATGAACATCAACCTGCTGATCTTTCCACCTGACACAGCAGACTCGGTACAGTTCGAGAAATAGCCAAACGTTTTATCGACTATCTTTATTCATCCTTAGTCGCCCAAAAAACGCATATAGAATCTTGATGGTAGTCACGTAGACATGAAAACGTTAACGGGTGATACTCTTAAAATATTTATTCCAAATATTGGGTATATTGAGTTGTATTTCTACCCTACCAAGACTGTTGACGAGTCCAACTCAGCGCTTGTCTTGGTAGGTTATTAACCTACAACGGGTGTATCTATTTGTCGACGTATCTATTTGTCTAAAACTAAAAGCACAATTATCACTTGCAACACGGTAACTGGCCGGTAAATAGCCAGTCTTGATTGCACAACCCAGAGCAAGCTGTTTCTAGTGACCGGTTAGTGACCACTTTTGAGTAAATCGGGGTTTGCGGTTAATTGGGGTTTTACTGTATAAGGAATACTACAGATTAGTATAGAAAAGGTCAGCTAGTTCAGAAATAATAATTAGTTACAAATAATAATTCAGTAAAAATTATCGTTCCAAATAGTTAAAAAAAACATGAATCTAAAATGTTTAGTTATGTCCTCTCGGTACAACGTCGTATTTGTAAATAGAATATTCTGATTCGCAATGGATGTTTATTGACATTCCTTTTGCACTTAGCCTCGGTAGCTTAGAAAATAGAAAGCGTCTAAAAGCTAGTAATAGTCAGTAGGTAGATGTAGAAGTTCGACATGACACTCAACATGAGGATTGACCAGGCGCACCTGTAGAACTGAAGATGGAAGGTCCCTGGTGGTTCTTCCGTGACGTGAGGACCCGCAATCAGGTACAGAGTAAAGGGTAATATTGATACGCAATAGATAACAGCTGTGAGGATAACTGTTATCGTACCCTGCCATCTGAGACTACTTCTCCCTCTCTTCGCTACCTTTCTAGCTTCAACCAGCAACATCAGGGTCGTTACAACAACCGCAATGTTTGGAAGGAGGGAAGTAAAGATACTGAGCACAGGTCGCAACCACTTCCAGATATCAGCTGTGAAGTGATAGTCACACTTGTAAGCTTTGTAGCCGAAGTAGATGTCATCACTGTCCACCAGGAGCAAGGACATGTCCACAGTAGCAGCACATACCCAGCACGCAGCACTGATAAGATGGGACCTTCTGGAGGACCAGGCTCCTCCCCGGAGCGGGTACTTCAGTAACATCATCTTGCTGGTTGTGATAGCGGAGATGAGCAGGAAACTAGCCGGTAAGGTAAGGTAGATCGTATAGGTGGACAGGTAACAGACAAACTGTCCTAAGACGTGTCCGTCAGCTATCATGGAGATGGGACCGAATGTGGCAGCGAGGCAGGTCAGGATGTCGCACACTGCCATGTGTTGGATGATGGTGACGATGACTTTGTGGAGTTTGATGGCTTTGTACTTGAGGGTGGCAAGGAGGATGAGGGAGTCCCCGATAATGGAGGAGAGGACCACTAGGATGAAGTAGCTGGCCCAGGTGTAGCGCTCTGCTGTGTTCGTTATCCGGATTTCGGTGTAGTTGCGGTACTCTGCCATTTTGGTGAGCTGGAAGTTAGGAATTATTTAATTTTAATCTTATTTATGTTAAATTATTAAAATATGTTAAATAGATTATTTAAAGATTCCCATCTTTGTTCTTATTATCATTAAACTATTGTAATCTATACAAATTGCCAAGTAGCACCCTCATACTCTCATACGATTATAAGTTGCTCAGACATAAACATTAAATGATTAGACAATCTCCTTTAAACAAAATATCATGACAGCAGCCTAATTTGATGACTAGTCATCTTTAAGTAGAATAATAAGTATGAATTTATAAGCTGACGAATTTACATCTGCTGTAAGAGTTCACCGATACACAAATAGTGCACTCAAAGAAAGTAATTCCTACAATCTACAGAAATCGCTAGTAAGAAGCTAATAAAATATAATTCGTGAGAAGATGTCGACAAATATGACTGCTGTTTTTTAGGATGGAGTAAATAACTAGGACAAAGGAACCTTTAAACACGTGGACCGTTTTCAACAATAGATTGAGTCGAGTCTGGTAATTTAATCGTCTAAGAGTCGAATTAAAGTGAGTAAATGGCGGCAATCAAAACTTCGATTATCATATTAGTCAGCTCTGTGAGGACAAAGATGGCCAAAAAAAGAATAAAGGCGATAATTAGAATTAGTGTAATGTATAAAATTCACGAACGAGTATAATGTTTTGTTAATCGAAATTAAGACTAAATAATATGGCCTGTTACTTGAAGTTGCTGCTTCTGTACAAATATTATTAAACAAGACCGTCTGCAAGGAATTTTTTAGTCGCAGTTTAAAGACCTGAGTGTGTTATCGCTGGGTGGCCCTGGCTCTCCTAGTCTTACCTATGCAGAATTTAAAACAGAATAAAATGAAATTTCTATCAACGCATATAGCCACATGATAACAAATAGAAAATTCGCCAAACTATCCGCGCACTTCATAATAGTTCACACAGCCATTGTTGTGAAAATTTACACCTGGCATGGAGTTGCGGGAAGTCACAGTCTCTCCTATTGTTGCAACTATATTGTTTAAATTTAAAATATTGTTTAATTGTTAGTTCTAGTGGAGCTTCCCAAGACACATACGTGGTTTGAGTTGGGGCTAACGGAAACTAGTTCTGTTTGATCTTCCAGAGACAATGCTTTATGAACTGAGGTAAAATATAGCAAGGTAGAACTGCAGCACTAATCGATAAAACGTGTTAGAGAAAGCAATTGTTATTCGCTGTAAAGAGTTAGGAAAGGTGTCATGAAGACGAGTTTAGCATGAAGCAAGGTGTAAACACGAACTAATCTGTCACAGCGTACAGACTATGATATTTTGTATGATCGGCAGTTTTACATGCAGCCGGCAGTGAAGAGGCTAAACAACACTAAATGTGTTCAACCTAATTTAACAGAGAAAACGAATAGGACCAATTACCAACTCTTGTGTGGTAGATGAACAATGTCAGGGCAACACGAAATGAGTGTGGCTTTAAATAACTCTGATCATTAGTTGACGATGAAAAGCTGTTATTCTTCAAATTAAGTTCTCTTTTATTTAAAGTCCTCACAGCTGGTGTCAACACTCGACAGTATATAATTGGGAAAAAAAATTAGTAAATTTTAACTTTGACCGGAAATATTTCCTAATTTGCCTCCTTCAATACCACGTGTAATTAGAAATTATACACTACCTAATAAAAACACTGAGACCCCAATGTAATAGTTACAACTACTGACTAAACACGATATCACCTCAACTATATGAGGTGTGGGATCATTTGACGGTCTATCTAAACGATGTCAGTAGAAAGCTGTGTTTGTGTGAGCTAGGTGCCGCTTGTAGGCAAGACAGGCTTTGTTCACGGACTAGATGTGATTAATCAGTTTACACATGGCGGAGGTACTATCAAACTGTTAAACTATCGTGTTTGGGGTCTTTTACGTATTACGTAATCAGCCGAGGGGGGGTTTCAAAATGCTTACGGTCGATTACGGGGGGCCGGGGGGGGGGGGGGGGGGGGGAGGGGGGGGGGAGGGGGAGGGGTGTTTGGTTGTTGATTACTTAATCAACATTTTATTATTTACCCTCTAAGTATTTTAATTCAAATTCCACTCAATTTCACGCTGATAGTGATAAAATTTAGAAATTGATCGGATATCCGACGCGACTATAACTTAAGTAGTTTGAAAGGTGCTTGGCCGGATATAATAACAATGATTTCGGCTCATTATGATCAGGGTAGCATCAAACGTAAAGAAAAGTGTTTCCAGGGAAAATAGTCAGGCCATTACGTAATATTACTGTCAGGAGGGGGGGGTGGGGTTGGGTCTTGATTACGGTTGATTACGGGGGGGGGGGGGGGGGGGGGGGGTAAAAATTGCTAAAATATTGATTACGTAATATGTGAACGACCCATTTACGTGTGTTAAACAATAGCATAGGTATTGGGAGACCTATACTCATGGTTAAAGTGCGATTATTTACCGCAAAACATTATAATCCTATTTTAACGTAACAACAGTTTTAATGTCGAGAAAAGTATGTAACCTGTTTAACCTCATCATATAAGTGGTGTAGCCGGAAAAGCTCCCTAACTGTACTGAAAAAGCTATTGCTATTGTTGAACTGTGTGAATCAATTGAATTTTGTGGGGTCTATCATGTGTAGTTGGAGGAATTATAACAGAAATCAAATAGGATAGAATAATAACGGCAGCTTCAACTTGAAGGTCAACAGAAATATGCAGTTTTTAGTCTCATATTTAAAGTACTA